TTAGCAGACTGCTAACACCAAATTGAAAGGGAACTCCACAGTGCAAGTAAGGGCATGAGAGAAGCAGGGAAAAAATTCAAAGGACAGATTTTCAAAACAGCTCAGCTTCCACTTAAAGACTTATTGACGTGGTGTGAGGGCTCTTGTGCTGTACCCCCTAGGGCACACTATCACCTCTTTTGGGGGATTAGAACAGCTCACTTCCCCAGCTGCCTGATGGCCCATATTTTTGCCTGCCACCTCTTGGTGTTCTAATTTATGAGCCTTCAAGTTAGTTGAGAAGCAGTTCTTGTGAGTGATTTTTTTTCTTGGGATGCTGTGAGAGTAACAGCAGGCCCAGCATGCAATGGCAGGCCGAGCCAAAACAGGGCTTGGCCTCACTCTAGTCACTTGTGCATGAAACTATTTGCCTGCCCTTGAGTCCTACTTTCAGTTATCTACCCCCTCCCTCACCCATAATATTTTCAGGCTTGATCCACCCACAAAACAGTTTCTAGAGCTTGACCCACCTACAAACTTCCCTTAATCATCCCCCTTTCCCCCCTGGCTGCCAGGAGTTCACCCCTAGCAAAGTTCCTGCCTCTAGGCCATCTTCTGTTTACAACCTAGCCCTTTGGCTGGTCCTCTTATATACCCCCAGAAGAAAGAGAGATTCCCACTCTGTTCCTACAGCACACAACCCCTTTCCAGAAATTTGGTAGCGGTGAAGTGGCAGCAGTGTTAATTGCCCCTGCCACTGCTGCCTAGTTGCCAATGTAACCGTGGCCGCAACGCTACCTGCGCCCTCACCTGAATAGTGGGATCCTGGGGTACCTGGTAGCCGGTGGCCCTGCTTAGCTGCCTGGGTCGCTGCTGCAGGGTCCCCAAGCGGAGAGCCTCCCCTTACAACCAAACAACCTTGCAGACCTTTATAAAACTATTCGCAGAACTTAATTATTTACATGTTGATATATAATAAATACAATAAAATCAATAATGTTACACAAATGTAACCTGGTGATGGTGGCTTATGGGTTAATGCTTCTCTGATACACCTCATACCAGGGGAATGCATACAAATCACCCACCATAAATAAGGAACCAATAAATAAATACATAGATACACCAACTAATAAATCATCTGGAACTTATTTATACACTCATCCTATAATGTGTATGCTCCAGGGCAACTATGAGGACTCTGTGTGATGCCCCAGGTGGGGTGTCTCAGAGCAGGGCTCTGTCTGTGCCCCTGCACAGGAGGTGTGGGCAATCCCTGCTGCTGGTGTCCCTTTCCAAGCTCCAGGGGTCTCCGTGCAGCAGGCAATGCCTTCCCTCAGGTCCCTGCAGGAAAGCCCATTCCTGCCCCATCCCCTGGCACAGCAGGGAGCAGTGTCTGGGCTGCAGGCTGGAGCAGTTCCTCCGCCCAGCACAGCTCACAGCACCCAACAAATGCAGCCCCCCCCCCCCCGG